TCACCGTTGTACGCTCTCCTTCTTAATACACTCTTGATCACAGGCACTTGAAGCATTTCAATAAAATATATACGCAGAGGTCTTGTGCTGTGAACGGCGACAGTTATATCTATAGCTATTTATATTTAACTGTCGCCGTGCACAGCACACGACCTCTGCGTATATATTTTATTGAAACGCTTCAAGTGCCTGTGCTCTTGATTACATTAGGTGCGTGGTTCGTGTGTTTTTTAGGCTTGTGCGTTTTACGTTGTCGTGACTTTTCCCTGACGACGAGGGGGTGTGTGCTTCTGTTACTGCTGAGATACATGTAAACAGCAGTCTATCTCTTCGATATAGTCCCTTGAAGACTAGAGATACATAAACTCAGGGGTCTATCTTTTCGATATCGTCTCTTGGAGTCTGAAGACTAATATTTACGAGGTTATAAGCTTAGGGGTGAATAGTGACAAATATGTCATCAAATTTGTTAAATTTGTGACATTTGTAATTATTCATCCCTGATATAAACTAACGAAGACTTCTATTGTAGTACCATCAAGAGCTAATAAATACCTCAAGGTAAATAAAGTAATACCTCTAAGGTATAAAATACTCTAAGGTATAAAATACTCTAAGGTATAAAATACTCTAAGGTATAAATAAGGTAACACCTCTAAGGTAAATACCTAATAGGTATTTATTAGCTGTTAGTACCATGAAAGTGATTAGCATGAGTCTCTCTGATGATGACTCACAGGCACAGACACTTGGAACGTTCCAATAATAAAACCAGGAGTGAATAATATTAATAGATTCTATTATTTTTCACTCCTGATAAAAAGATAAGGTAAATAAACGGCAATTTTGTGTTTACTACCAAAGACCAAGTGTCAAGGTCTAAGTGTCAATGTCTAAGTGTCAAGGAGGTCTACGTGTCAAGGTCTAAGTGTAAAGGTCTAACTCAAAGTCAAAGTCTTACTACCAAGTGTTTATCTCTGCCGCTAGAGTGATTCAATCTTTCTGTGTGTTTGTGTGCGCGGTGGCGTGCGTGCGAGAAAGCGCTATCTGTAGCAAAGGAGTGTTTGAACGACATTTACATGGAATGATTAGACGTTAGAGAATGATATAGACTCTGCAACAGACAGTTTTTCTCGCACGCACGCCACCGCGCACACAAACGCACAGAAAGATAGAGTCACTCTGTCGACAGAGAGGAGATAAAACATGAAGACTTTGGTTAGTAAATAGAATTTGCGTTTTTTTACCATTGTTTTATTATTGAAACGCTCCAAGTGGCTGTGTCTGTGAGTCATCATTAGAGAGACTACTGCTAATGGCTTTCATGATACTACACTAGCAGTTATCGTTAGTTTACATCAGGAGTGAATAATGGAAAATATGACAAATTTGATGACAAATTTGGAGAAAAATTTGCGATTATTCACCCCTAAGCTCATAACCTCGTAAATATTAGTCTTCAAAGTCCAAGGGACGATATCGAAAAGATAGACGGCCCCTGTTTATATGTATCTCTAGTCTTCAAGGGACGATATCGAAGAGATAGACTGCTGTTTATATGCATCTCGGCAGTAACAGAAGCACACACCCTACATAGTCAGGGAAAGCTGGTTGGCACAGGTACGGCACATTACCTGTAGAATCCCCGAAGACATTCACGCTACTCTCAGCGACTGTCGCGCGTTGCCGCGGCGACGGAACCACGTGACCGAGCCGCGTCGTTGTTCGTCGTTGCAGTTGTCGATGACCTCTACACGATATACGACCGAGATCGCCATGCCGACGACGCGCGGCGACAGCCGCTGCCATCTAGGGACGACCAAGCGCACTACCGTGACTCGCAGCAGCAAAGGTCAGAACGAGAGAGAGAGAGAGAGAGAGAGAGAGAGAGAGAGAGAGAGAGAGAGAGAAGAGAGAGAGAGAGAGAGAGAGAGAGAGAGAGAGAGAGAGAGAGAGAGAGAGAGAGAGAGAGAGAG